GTTAGTCTCTAAGGAGCCACAAGTACTCCTGTTCTTTTTGTTGTCATTACTGTTGTTGTTAAAGTACAGTCCCACTTCCTACAAGGCAAATACACAAGGGAGGGGAGAGAAAAGAAAAGCAAAGTCATGAAATGCAGCTTCTGTCCCTGGTGTTGTCTCTTACTTGCAACCTCGCTGCTGAAAAACACAGGCATGGCACACGCTCTGAACAGCCACTCTGAACTGGTACTAGGGTGACCAGACAGCAAGTGTGAAAAATCGGGACAGGGATGGGGGGGGGTAATAGGAGCCTAGATAAGAAAAAAGACCCCAAAATTGGGACTGTCCCTATAAAATCGGGACATCTGGTCACCCTAACTGGTACCAGCATCAGGCTGTTTAGGGAATTTCTTTTAGCTGCCTCTCTGGTCACAGGCTTACAGCAGTGTTCCAAAATACACAGTATTGGCCAGCTAAGCCACGTTCTTATTAGATAGAAGGCAAAAGGAGAGGGAGTGGGGAGGGGGGAAGGGGGGCGCGAGGGGTGGAGGGAAAGGAGGGTAGAGAGGCTCTGTCTGGCTCCAGGCCCTCACAAGGGTAGCGAGGGATCTTCTTACCTTCAATCTCACCTTTACCTGTAAACTATGAACCTTCCATAGAACTCTCTGTGTATGATGATAATTCACCCATCCACACTCCACAAATGAACCAGAGGATTTTCTCTGAACAGTCCAGGAGAGGGCTGGACACTACAGAACCCGCGGTTTGGGGAAAATTCTCTCCCCACCCCCATTAGGGCTTGTTCAGGTCTCTAGTACTGTACTCAGAGATTGACAATCTCTGAAGCAGGAGGTTTAATAGCCCTGCTTCCAAACTCTTTGATTGCAATAACTGTTCTAACTCTGCATAGAATTGTTCTATCCCAGCTCTGGGAGCGAACTGGAGTCTAGTGGTTAGAGCAGGGGGTCCTGGCAGCCAGAACTCCTGGGTTCTCACGCAGCTCTGGGGTCTAGTGGTTAGAGTGGGGGCGGGAGAGCTGGGAGCCACTCTCTCAGTTCTGACACTGACTCACCATGTAGCCTTGGGAAGTCGCTTCCCCTCTGTCTGTGCGGGGTCCTTACTCTCCGATGCAGCTGGCCTGGTGCAAACCACTCGCAGGGACACTGCTCCGCGGAGAACCGTGACCTGCACTGCCAGACTCGCCTCAAGGCTGGGAGGGCGGCTCTGTCTGGGCACCAACCCTTCACGGGGGCAGCGGGGGTGGGGGCAGCTCTGTCTGGGCCCCGGCCCCTCA